TCAATATTCTACATTCATATTTTTACTTCCCTCTATCTTGCGAACTGCGATTTGGACTCTCGACTACAAGCGAAGTCCGTCGTTTATAAGGTATTGTCGGTGCATTCATATTTATTATTGTTATAATTTTTGCATAGGTAAAACTAATTTACTTACAATTTTATTTACATTACGATTGCGTCAAATTGACGCACACCCGTAGAGATAGTTATACCACATATCAAATTTCAATATTTCAAAGCTTTTGAAGAAAATAGACTTCAATGTATATTTACCTCGTTCAATGGATAAAAGTCAGTGCAAGAGATAAAATAAAAATGCGAACGGTTTTTGTAATTTTCCTAAAAAATTTGAAATGCGTCAAAAATCCGTAAACCTAGTGTTAATAAAGTCGAATTTTGGGAAGTGCAAGTTTAAGGCAAACGCTAATGTAAGCAAACAAAATGGCCTCAAACAAAGAAGTGTTATTCTACGACGTTAAACAATTTTGTTTGAGATGTGTCACGTATTGTACGATAGTGTTTTATATTGTCAGTAGCGTAATCTTAGTCAACTTAGTTTGCATACAAATAACGCAACATTTATCACAACTGAAAATGTATGTCTATTCTAAGCGTCTAGGACAGATGCCACAGTTTCTTCTTTCTGTGCATCATGTTGCAAATAACCGATTTGTCTATAAGAACATTACAGAAGTTAGAAAGTCAAGAACCATGTATTCCGAATTATTTTATGTATGATAGCAGAGATGCAGAGTATGCATATTAAGACAAAATGAAGTTGTCTGCAAAACTTTTAAGAGTAACAAATTCGCTCTTGTTCAATTAGCTTAGGAATAAATCATGCTATTCATATGAAAGATGTGATACTTTATTTTGATCTTTTATTACACCGTGTTGAAAATATTCTGAAACTTTCGTATTTAGACAAAGATAAATGATTTTCAGATTTCATACTTAATGAAGATATTTTCTACAAGTAGAATTTTCTATTGTATTTTCTCAGGATGTTGAAAATTATATTACAGTTATATTGTAATTTTTCTTTGAATAAGTTTGTATAAAATTAGATATTTGTATTCCCTTTTTCTTTTATTTTCACTTGAGAATCAAAAACATATTTTTCTTTTAATTTAAACAATCTTGTAATAAAGGGTTAATATATTATTATATAATAACGTGGCATTATTCTAGATATGATATCGTTCCTATAATTACGTTTCATTCTTTTAAATAACGAATAAATACACTGTAAAAAATGTGCAAATTATTTCATACGTAAATGTGGAATTACAAATGGAAGCACTGAAGCCTTATTACTTTGGGAAACAAATTCTAATAATAATTATTGAATCCATCAAAGATATAATAATACATAATAAAATCAAATATTCAAGAATTGAAAATATAATCTAACAATATGTATTTGTTAAGACAGTTACTCAAAAATATAATCTAATATACGACGCTTTTTACTAATATATGAAATATGTATGTGTTTTGAAAAAACAAGCAAAATAAAGGATATCCTATCTAAGAAATTCATATAATCTCGTATGATAGATCGTCCGATGTATCAAATATGTCAATGAATGTAGTATATCACAAAGCATAGAAGATACAATGTGGTACTCTTATGCAACCGTATGCAGTAAAGAATTTCAATATCGGTTTTCGACGATTTCGAAATGAAACTATCAAAATTCTCTAAACTAGTGGTTTAAATCTGAACGAATAAAGAGAATGAAAATTATATCAAAACGTAATTATCGATCACAAATTGTATTTTGTTTACGTCTTTTAAAATTTAAGCTTCGAAAAATAAGTAATTCGCTTTCATAATTATTAAATTATTCAAACCGATAAAATCTTTGAAGTATCCATTTAAAAAAGACACTTTTCGCAGCACAAATTTATTATCAGATCAGAAAAACCGTGTTTAAATTACTCATTGTCAGTAACAAGCTGCTGGGTAATAAGTTTCTGAATAATTACACACCAAATGGTAACTGGAGGTGTTCGACGGAAAAGGATTCTCCATTACGGCTTTTTATTGAAGTTTAAAGTTATCCAGGCAGTTTCCAATAAAGTTTCTGCTTCCAGTTAAATCTGTACCTCATATTCTTAGCTCTACCTGAAAGTCTTGAGAGATATTTTCACAGAAAATCGATGTTAACTTCAGCTTCCGTACTATTTTTAAAAGAGAACTGAATTCGTACGATTTCGATTCGTACGAAAAGCTCTTTTTGCAGTATGTTCTTTATAAAAGAAAATTGATAACAATATCTTTTCAAAATCAGAAGTAGAAGGCATAGAATTTAAAAAAAAAAACTGAATGATGAACGATGATGAATGAGATCGTACATTTTGAACTTTTAAATATAATTACAGTTGCTAATATTTGGGAAAATTGTTTATTTTTTATTCTGAATGATATTAAACAAATTTTGTTATTTCATATGAGACGTTTAATTATTACATGTTTATAGGTTAGGAGACGAATCTTATAGTATAAACATAAGTATATTTGTAATTTTCAATTCTCATTTTGTAACTTATTAAATAAATTTGTCAAAGTAGATGAGATAATAAGCAAATAATTTATGTAAATTTAGTTTCAATATTTATATGACTCTTATCTATATTTTTAACTTCGAAATTATTCGACATATAGGTGTGCAAATACAGATTTAAATTTACATTAAAAGAAATATGATAATATCTTCCAGTATTGATTTTTGGTGAACGAAATTCACGCTGTCGCGGAATAACATATTCTCAATATGAACGTTATCCAATATATGATAATTTCTAGAATCAAATAAAAATATTACAATTCCGAATATTGATCGACATATTACCATTTAACGTCAATAAATTAATAATGGAAGTATATCAAATTAATTTGAAAACAACATCACTGAATTTAATCGATTTTAATAAAAATAAGGTTTCAATAATTTTTATAATTTCATATTCAAATTTTGTGTATAACAATACAAAAAACTTTTGGCAATTTTCTGAAATATCAAAGTATCAATTATGGCATCGTTTACCACCCTTAATGCAAGTTTATTTAAAATACTTTTTCATTATAGCAAACAGTAATTTAAGTGACACGAATTATCCAATATGGCTGCATTACGCGGGAAATTCAAAACAGTTCCATAAATAAAAACGTATCCCCATTGCTGCCGTATCTACTCTGCATTTCCAGATGCTACGTTACAATTTAAAAGAAACGTAAACCTTACCATCTCGTACAATTTACAAGCAGTTTTGTATGCAAACAATCAGATCGCAACTGAAATTCAGTATTGTTGTTGAACGAGCAATCATAAATCACTTTCAAATGATATTAGAGATGCTTCGAGCAATTAGTCATCGTTCACAAGCACATCTTCAACTCGGCCGTCGTGAAAACTGTATGTATGTACATATATTCTACGTTGTTACTCTTACCGGTGTTATACAAAAGTACCCATACACAATGCATATTTGTGGCTCCGTTCCAGAAATGTCGAAGCTCCCCTCACTTTTCGTGATAAATCAAAGGAACTGTTATTCGGAAATCGGAAGATGAAGCCAATAATGAAGTTTTAAAGTCTAATCAATCATCGGAAGAGAATTCTGGCTTTCATCTTTTCGCTGTCAATCAAAATTAATGCATAGATAAATGATCATGTGACGTTGCTTGGAAAATGCGTCGTTAAAAAATCCAATTAAAATTTGTTCGTTTTAGAACTTTTATATCGAGTTATAATAAAATTGTGACGCTATAATGTTTGTTTCCGAGTAATAGCTTTAACGAAACTTTGTACCTGCAGGGTGTTTTACTGTAATTGTAACACTGTAATATCTTGAATTTTCAGAGAAAAAATGTTTTAAACAAAAATTGCAAGGTTTGGAAGAGACACGTGAATTAAATGAAGTTAACTTTGAATCCAAATAATTTTTTTTTCACCGATTTGTCAATAAGTTGTACTAAATTGTATTTAAATAACAATATCAGGCTTCACGTTGTACAGCAATATTTAATATAAAATTGTGAACCTTTATGGAAACATATTTATAAATTTTCGTTTTAAATAATTGAGCATAATTCACCGAAATTTGGAGAGTATTAAAACTTAATTAAAGTAGTTTTAAACATTTTAATTAAGAATTAGAGAGTATGTACTTCACGTATTAGAGAGTGTATACTACTTAAACTAAAGTTTACCTTTGGATATAGCGCGATTTACTGCGGATTCGATTTTTCAAAGCGAGACGATCCTAACCCACTTCCCGTCTGTTTGATTATCACTCTGGAAATGCGTCTACTTCCATTTTAATACGATCGTTAAATTACTCCATAATTCATCTCTCGTCCGCTGCAAATTTCTCCAACACCGTGCTGCGTTGCCCAAAAAAGATGAAGAAATTAGGTTGACAATTTTTAATCTGCTTTATAATGTCATAATAAGATTTATCGGAATCGAGCACGATATTAGCATAGAATGATGTTATTATTCAACGATTAAATACTCGAGTAATTTAAACAACTTCTCATCAAAGGATCCACAGTTTTAAAGGATTATCTAAAATTGTTCATTTTGTTCGTCATTGCTGTGATATAAGAGAGCTGCCATATTAACGGGGTACTTTTCAAATAAAATATTTAAGATAAAAGAAATTTGTAATTTTACTATTTATCAAGAACTTAATCAATTTTATAAAAGCATTGGCAAAATATTTTGCTGAGCACTTCATCAAAATTTATGGCTGCTTGATGTGCAATAATCTAACACATTTGAAGAGCAATAATTTTGACAATAATTATTTCGAATTTATTTAACGTAATGAAATATTTTACATGTCTCATTTTCTAAAAACTCAGATTAAAATTTTAGGAACAGTTAGAAAGTAATTTTGGTTCTTTTCTCGCAGATATCAGTAAAAAGGTTTCTAACTGATTAAAAGTAATAATCAGTGTAAGTTTGTGCTGAGAAAAGAAATTTTAAAGTTCAATAATGAAAATTCCTCAGAATCAAAATATTCTGATTTATTTTATTCGCAACAATCGCAGTTTTACATTTGAAACACTGAACAATATACTTCCGTTTCTTTATCGAAACAAAACACGTCTCTACAGTACGATTGTAATGATGCAGAATACCATTTCATTTTTCGATTTAATCTATCTATTAGCTTATAAAATTAATATAATAATAACGCTATTTAGAATTTTTACAAAATTTTTTTCTTTCGGTTAGTCAATTACATTTTTGCAGCGCCGATCATCGACAATGCCCACGACATTCAACGTGTTTGCTTGAAAACATTTAGGCGACTATCATAATAGAATTTGTTAAAGGATTAACAGAAACAAACTTGTAAACTCTTTTCAATATGTCTAATATACACGCACCAATTTAACACTCTTCGTTAAAATTATAAGTTCGTTTGATTTTTAGCTAGCTCACTAAAGTGTTACGGACAACACTATTGCTTTTCCTTATTGCAACATCGCGTAATAAAAAGAAACAATACTATGAAAGTATTATATATCTGTAACTATAAGCTATCTAAAAATAAACAGAACCTATAACTTTAGTTGATAGTGTAGACATTAACCTCTTAGGCTGAATTTTAGCGCTGCTTCTCTGTACGGCAGAGTTCGACGCGAACTACGCGTAAACAGCACTACAATGTGACAATGCTGTTCTCCACGCGAGTACATTGGAATGAAGTTTTTGATGATTAAATTATAATTTTCTCCAAAGATATGAAACATATACTTTAACTTTGATGATTTACTTTTTTAGAAAATTCACAAAATATGTAATTTCCAAATGTTTCTAATATCGTGTATTAGTGCAAAAAGGCGCTCCCATGGTGCCTAAACTACTTGGTATCTTTTATTTACATGTAATGTACTTTTCTGGGATTTGTTAATACTCTTATAAAACGTGATGAAGGCAAAAAAAGCGCGAATCAAAATATATGAAAACGATCATTCAATCGAAACGGTGAGCGAGTGAATCTGTTGAGTGAACCATTATGGCGCTATGTAATCCACGATGACATTCGCGAGAGCCACTATAGTGGACCGTCGTACAGAGAGATGGTATTCGCGGAAGCCATTATAGTGACGCGTCGTGCCTAAGAGGTTAAAGACATGAAAAGACACTCAAAAGTATACACGTCTTAAGATCGCTAAAAAAAGATGTAAGTACATAACGGTGTGTCTTGATTTACGTAATAAATTTGTGCACGGGACAATTGAAATACGACCTTCAATTTTATTAGTCATAGAGGAAGTTGAAATTGTCCACGCAGGTTGATCTCGACGAGGAACACTGTGAATCGTTATTCACTTTAGGTAAATGAACCCTGTCGGTAGATGGACGCCATGTTATTTTTAAGAAGAAATCGTCCTGCTCGTTGCCGGTTTGTAGCAACGGAACGTTTGATCTTGGATTTTCGCTGTAGGATACACTCTGCCTGTACTAGACACGATCTTCCTCTTCCAGCAATCTCACCACCTCTGAAAATAGAATCTCCATGTGAGTTTAAGGTTAGCATCAATCTTCCGTTCGTAACATGTGTACACAGTCAACAGAAAATCCGGGGACATAGAGAGAATGCGGTAATCAAGGAGGAAGAGTCTATGCGATGATTTTTAGGGATCTTTTGAGATTCACTTTGTTTATGGTTTATAGGAAATACTGGAACTTGAGAATTTTAGTATTCAGCGATTTGAGGGTTTGGGAAATTACAGAAATAGAGATTTAGGGATATGGGAGAAGAGAAATTTATGGATTTAAGAATTTAGGGACATTAGTACTTGAGGATTTATGAAAATTGTAATTAAGGGATATAACGACTTAGGAATTTGTAGATATAAGGATTTGGAGATCCATGGTAATGGAAATGTGGGGACGTGGTCTACGAATTTATGGATTTAAGGATTTACGGACTGCAGGAGTTCAGGTGCTATGAAAATTGAAAAGGGATATAATGTTCTAGGCATTTGTAGATCTACAAATCTTAAGCTTCCATTTCCATCGATTTGAGAATCGACAATCTACAAATTTAAAGATTCGAATAATTACAAGTTTGGAAATTTCAAAAATTTGGGAATTTAAAACTCAAGAAATTTTCAAATTTAGAGAAGTGTAAAGTTGGAAACTTGAAAATCTAAAAATATAATTTACAGGTAAAATGTTGAATATAAAATAATGATACTCTTCACTTCAATTAAGATTGCAATTAGCATTGGATGTCTTTAAACATTGTATGTCAACAGTAATCAGTTAACGTTGGACTCCTTCGGGCATTGATCATAAACAAAATATGATCACACGGAAATGAACAGTGGTGTTGTACAACAGGATATATTTATAACAAGACCACCTGTTACATTTAGCGTACACGTATTTGTTCAGGTTGCTACCAGCTACAAATACTTCAATTAAATCGAATCATTCTTTCGAATACCTAACATTTATTTTCACGTGACTTCTAAAATTTATTTTCATGCATTCTTCTATAAAAATATAAAAACAACAAAAGCTACAAAAAGATATCTTAGATTATGGAAAAACACAAACCCTATGTTCTACAGTTCCATTAATGCATAAAATCAATCATTTCCAAAATTCTGATACTCATTTTACTTTACAATATAGATACACGAACAGAAGGTAAAAATCTTGTGATAATTTTTTAAATAAACGTTGATCTGAAGAATATCCAGATAATTCAGTGTTGATAGATTAAACAGTTATATAAAAATGGAAATGTTTTAAATAGAGAGAAAGAATATAACGTTAATAAAAATTATAATAATATTATAAATACTTTTATCATAATATTAACTTACTGTCAATAATTTGTTTTCAGTTCAAACATTAACTTAAGATTGTTGTAATATTTGTGATAAACTGAACAATAAATTAAAATAAATTACTCTGTAATAAGGTTTTCGAATATCAATAACGTTGCTAACAATTGTGAGCATAGATTTAGAAAATCAATTAAAAATAACGTTTTTGTACGTTGAACTTTAAAGTATTTTAAGAAAATCAGATATCTGTATCGCTATAGGAGGAAGTTATTTTAAAACGGAGATCAATTTATCGGACGATTTTATTAAAAGTCAAGCATTGAACTGCAATTATTTTCAACGGATTCCTAAAACGGAAACCTTTTTTAATAGACTTCAACGATGAATACGAACTACGATTAAAACGCGTGTCACTGGAATCGCAATTAAACTTTAAACGATAAAGGTTAAAGTTTAAATGAGCCTTCCGATGTCAGCTTTAATAAAATTCGACAAGATTTGGTGTAGGAACAGAAACTTTACCATGTGACTCCAAATACGTTGATAACATTAATTTGAAGTGAAAATCGATGCTGTTATTCAAGTAATTTTAATATTAAAATACGGATTTTATAAGAGTAAAATTCTCCACTATAATCTAGAGAATTATTATTCGATTAGTAACTTTTAATTAGTAATTAGTAATTGCAGTATAACATTCTTGCAATTTTCGCAAACCATGTCTGACAGATTTATCGTTCCCTTTTTGTATAACGTTTTCCACTTTTTCTACATGAAACGGTTGAGTGTGATTGCATTTACTGTGTAGAGATTCTTCACGGTGATTAATCACTTTCGGCGGCTAACAAGGTAAAGTGTTATAGAAAATTGATGAAAAGCAAAATTAATGACAGTATTCTAGGTAATTTGTTTTTGTTGCAAACTGTATTCAATCTGTTTCACAGCACACTTTGCAATCCTCTAAAGTTGCAAACTTTTTCACGGCGGCGCATTCTTGGAAGTTGCAGAGGCAAGTTTATTGTGCGTAAAGTTCCGGCAAATTCCTAAAGCAAACGTCTAAACATTTCGACTAAGTACCTCAGAAACTCAAAGGCACAAAACTATCCTCGGAAGTTAATTAGAAAATACACATGAAACTATCGTCTGATCTATCGTATCGTTTGTACGTTCTGAACTTTGATATTTCACGAATTTGCAAATGCGAATAAGTTTTCAAACTGCTAATTAACATATTTCCGGATAAACAGACTTCGAATATAATTTAGGGAATATTTCAACGGCTGAAAATTCAGGTCTTATTTTGCAATAAAAAGAAAAATTCTTCTAAACTTTCCTTTATTTGCGTTACTCTTGTTTGCCCTTTGCGGTCTGTCTACTCTCAGCCACCACAGCAAGGAACCAAACTAATCTTATACTTTATTCAACCACAATCAAAAACCAATTTTTCGACGGGATCTAGGATTGTTGAACCTAATGTACCTGTTCATTGCACCGGACCTACTTGAAACAATTATACTAGAAACAAATAAATATGCCAGAAATAAAATATAACAGCAGAGCTTATCTGATCGATCAATATGGAATAACTGGATCGATGTGACGAAAGAAGAGTTAACAGCTTTTTTGAGTGTAATCTTTAACATGGGTACTATACCAGATCCTAATATGAAATATTATTGGACTAAGGAACATGTTGCGAACATACCATTTCTTTAGAAATATATTTCGAAAGGAAAGATTTCTCCAAATATTTTGGATGTTACATTTGAATGAAAATGTTTCCAGAAATGCAAATGTAACGACGAGAATCTAAAAACTGAGCAATTTTATCGATTATATTGATGGTAAATTCACAAAAGAATTAATAAATCTTGTTTATCCTTCGTAAATAAATCTTGTTTATCCTTCGAAATCTTGTTTATCCTTCGTAATCTTACATGTTATGTATCACTGCTCTTTCAAGGGAAATTAATTCCGACTGTACGACACCCATGATCAAATTTAATACGACCGCAAAGGGTAAATAAAGCTAGGGTTTCAATAATTTTTGTAATCTCATATTCAAATTTTGTGTATAACAATACAAAAAACTTTTGGTAATTTCCTGAAATATCAAAGTATCAATTATAACATCGTTTACCACCCTTAATATCATGCAAGTTTATTTAAAATACTTTTTCATTATAGCAAACAGTAATTTAAGTGACACATATCCAATATGGCTGCATTACGCGAGAAATTCAAAACAGTTCCATAAATAAAATCGTATAAAACGACCGTAAAGGGTTAAGCATAACAAATGTTTGAAATAAAATTTCTTTAACTGAAATTTTTTTAACGAGAAGTTTTATTAAACATTTCGAAATTCAAGTTTTAATTAAAATACCTAAAAGGAAGAAAAGATGAACGTATGAGTATCGTATGTACAGCATCATTATCACTCTAATAACGTAACATAACCTAACAAGGTGCGGGTCAAAAGTTCGTGAAATGGCTGATATTCACGCTTGAATTTTCTAGCTGAAGGCGTTCTAATGACACAGGAGGATATACAATTGTTAACATACATATGTAGATGTACGGTCATAGCTCTAAATAAGCACGTATTTCAAGAGAAATGCGTTTCAGATTTAGTATGGCATCAAGAGTTGCATAGTAACGAGGTTATAATAGGATACCGTAATAAGGCGATGCAGAATTTTAGTTTTTTGTACCAGTACCAACGTTTCTCGTAAATTTAAATAACCTGATCGAGAAGTCGTTACTTTTTCCGCGCGTAAAAATTTCATAATCTTATTTGGTTCGATGTAATATCCGACATTACTATTTTCGTATTCATATCATGTTTGACTTTGTTTCTTGTCATGTACGTCAACACATTCCCTGCGGGTATTCTATCGTATTTCGAAGTTGGCGAAGTTTGAATCTCTGTAGATGGTTGAATTCAAAAGTTTTATTCGGTGCGCAAGGGTTGAATAGGCATGAATAACGAATAAATCAAAAGTGAACTTAAATTTATTTTTTAAAATAAGAATCTTGGTTTGACGGATGAATGAAAATATAATATTATTTGTTACTGAATATTTAAGATTTAAAGTTATTTGCTATTAATGTAGAGTTTACTTATATGTTGCATGTTCGATGACTTTGTATTTCATTGCACAATTGAAGAGTGAAAATAAATGAATTTCCATACCAATTTTCGAGAGAACTTTTTTAAAATTTACTTATAAAATATTTCAAAATTTATGTTTATAAAAACTGAATAATTGTGATAAGGTTTTCATCTATATTTCCTGACACTGCTCATGTATAGTCTTTAAAAATGGCACTGCAATTTATAGAATCATTGCGAATCTCACATTCCTTAATAAGTAAAAAAAAAAAACCAATGAAAAATTTCCCAAAAAATTGATTAAGAACAATTATGAGTTATCATCATCTACTAAATATTATAATGTATTATAATGTATCTACATATGTATATTATAATGTATCTACATATGTATATTATAATGTATCTATGAGTATGTATGTATGTATTTATGAGCTGACAAGTATAAAATTATTGATTTAGTAATTCATGAAATTAAGAAAAAATTAAGATACGGTACCGGATCTGGCAACCAAGGAAGCTTTTCCAAGATACACTGTCGTCTCATTTCCACTTAGTTCGCTGTTGTTTCCTCCTTGAGCCGCATTTTTAGTAGATGCCGTAGCAACATCGCTGTTTCTACATCCTACTCTGAAATTCAAGCAGATATTTTGACGTTAAACAATGGCAACCATAAATTTATTCTCGTAACATTTTATCGATTCAATGTCGTTATCAGCGATATTGTAAATTATCTGCAATAACGCCTTTGTAAGCGAGAATGAATTGCTGCAGCTGTAACATATGTTAATCATTCACGATAAAATAATTCGAGCGGCTGATAAGAAAAAATTGTCGAACTTTATAATAGATGAAATCGGAAAAGAGATGTTAATTGATTTTGTTACAAATGATATTATAAATATCGAGTAGATTGTTGGAGCAAAATAAAATATTTAATCATAAAATTGAAATTTTGAGATTGAAAGATGGCATTAGAAATACTTAACAGAAAAGGGTAGATATTTTTTAAATAACAGCAAAGATGAAGTATAATAAATATAAATTATAAAAGAAGAAAAGATCAGTCAGCTTCGATTAGTTTTTGTTAAATTATTTCACTAAATTTCATATTACGCAAATCAGAGCAGTGGTTCTTCAGCGCCAGCTTCTGTAAAGAAGTAAATAAAATCCAAACAAACCTACATTTCATATTAATAAACTTCGAAAAACATCTGAAACCAGGATTAACGTTACACAACATTTTTTATATAAGTCGCTACAAGAAAAATGTTAACAATTATTTTCAATAAGAAAATAAACTGAATAATAAAACAAAAGTTATTTGAAAAATTTGTTAGCATAGTAATTTATTTCCTCAATCGAATGTTCTTAACAAAAATTATTTAAGAGATAATTTGATATTCTAATTTGGATTTAAGGGAAATAAATAGTAGTTATAAGGTATAAATTTTTCAAGAAAAGTAAGTAGTAGAATTTCTTGTTAGAAAATAAGTATTAAACAAACTCCACAAACGAGTATCCTTAATTATGATGTTAAAGAAATATTTGATTAACAATACGCGCTCCTTGCGCTCAAGCGTAACTTATCCCTAACTGTAATAACCAATATTCGCTTCTCCGATACTTATACAAACTTCACAAAATTACCGTAACTTTTGTATCAAGCATCTACGACTTTTTATACAAGTTTAATTCAGTTTCTGTTACGCGCGATGGGTAAAATATAAACTGTTTACAGTTATTTACGAAGGTTGTAAATCTTCGTCGACCCATGGCGTTTCCAAAACCTGTTACAGTCGTGGAATATTTCTAAAGTTAATATTATGAAGTAGAATTTTATTGTAAAGTAGAGTTTATATAGTGGCTCAGAGTCCTCCACACTGGTGTGTCCAGGTCAATGAAGGATGTAGATCATCATCCCACTA